TATATATATTATTAATCATCTATTTACAACAGTTTTTGACTCCATAATTCATCTCAAAAAAATTTAGTAATTTTGTCCAACAATAAGTATCACAAATTATTTGGTCCATTAGATATTTGGATGTGTTGTCATTATTCATATTTGTTCTCACCAAAGAGAAAAACTTAATGCCTAAACCCTTAAATATGTATTTGTGGGATACTCCACTTAAAAAGGATATAAATGTTACTATTCATCTACCCAAAATTTTTTATGTGTATACATATATTATATTTGTTGAACAAGAATTCTACTTCACTTAACATATATTTAAGGGGAGCCTTACCCCCAGAATTCATAACAAATTTTAACCTATTACAATTACCACACACCTCAAAGCTATCGCTACAATAGAACGTTAAGAACCCAGTACAAAACTTATCACAGCAAGAGAACTTTTAAAATCCGTTATCTCAAAAGACCATACCAAACTTTAGGTTTTTTCAAGTGCACACAAGGAGGAAGATGTCGAATATTGAAGCAAAGTAGGTCCAAGAATATAACTTTGATCCTAAAATTGAGGTAAGTCCTGGAATACTCGTACAATCCTTTGATAATAATATACCTATTGCACTTCATAAAATACTAGAAAATGCATCAAATATTATATGGATCCTATATCATAATTTGTGTCATTTTATAAGTGTTCATCAACCCATAGAAATTTTCTTACAACTTTAAATAATGATTATATCGCTAATATGATATCAGAGGCATTGTCTTGTAAAAAATTAAAAAATACGAGTATAGAAATGCAAACACTTGAAAGAATCAGACTTGAAAAGTTATAGATCTACCAAAAGACAAGAAACCAATGGGGCATAAATGAGTTTTCTCAATCAAATATAAAGTAAATAACACAACTGAGAGATATAAAGTAAGACTAGTGGCAAAAGAATATACATAGACATATAGAACATACTACCAACATACATTCGTAACAATAGTCAAGATGAATATTGTGTGGATCATGTTGTCATTAGTTATCCGCATTGATTGACAATTAGAACAGTTTGATGTAAAAAAATATGTTCTTTCATAAAGATTTAGAAGAAAAAGTGTACATGGATATTCCATAAGACTTTGACAGAGGAGCATGACCAAAAAGGTATGTAAACTAAAGAAAGTTTTATATGAACTTAAGCAATCACCAAGAGGTTTGACAGGTTTGCAAGGGTGATGATAAATCTATCATTTAAGTAAGCTCAAAGAGAGCACAATCTTTTTATCAAACCCTCATGGAGATGGAGAATTATAGCTCTTCTAATATACATTAATCACATTATCGTAACAGAAAATGATAAGAAGGAACAATGAATACTAAAATAATATCTAGTAAAAGAATTAAAAATCAAGAAATTAGGCGAGTTGAACTAGTTTCTGGGAATTCAAGTTGTCTGTTCTAAATATAAAATTTTTATTTCTCAATAGAAATACGTTCATAATTTGTTAAAAGATACTAAGAGGATAATATGTAAACCAAGTAACACTCTAATTGATCTTAATAACAAACTAGGAATAATATATGAAGATACGCCAGTAAATAAGGAAATGTATAAGAGATTAATTGTGATATTAATCAACCTATCCCATACAAGACTAAACATCACCTATACAATAAGTGTTATAAGTTAATTCGTGCATAATCTAAAAAAAGTGCATCTACAAATAGCCTACAGAGTGCTGCAATACTTAAAATGTCACTAAGGAAAGGAATTGCATTCAAAAAGAATGAAAAATTGCTTCTATAAGCCTATACTGATACATATTACACAAGATCGATTTTAGATAAATGATATATTGCAGACTACTGTACCTTCATCATAGGTAACCTAGTTACCTTGGGAACTAAGAAGCAAGATCAAGTGCGGAAAATAGAGTTTTGGGTAATGGTACAAGAAGTATATGAACTATTAAGGATAAAATGAGTTATGTAAAATCTTAAAATCAAATGAAAAAATCTTATACGACTATATTATAATAACAAGTTAGGTTAAACATCAATCATAATCTGGTGTAACACGATAAGACCAAATACATTAAGATTGACATATATTTTATCAAAGAAAAAAATTATAGTGGCTTAATATGTATGCCATATGTACTCACCAATTCTCAACTCATAGACTTATTAGCTATAGTTGTAAACAACTCAACATTCCAAACTCTTACCGGCAAGTTGGGAATGGACAACATTTATTACTTAGCTTGAGTAAGAATGTTTAAGATGAAAAAGTCATAGTATTAAAGAAGAAAATCTTGGTATTAAAGAGAAAGAAAATTATGGTAATAAAAAAGAAGTAAATCAAGATATTAAAGAGATAAAATTATACCATTTATAATTAATTATCTATTTCCTTTTACGTCATGAAAAACTATATATAGAGAGTTATAATATTTAATGAAATATATATCAATAAAAAAAACTATTCTTAACAGTATAATTTAGAAATTGTTTTCTTAATTGAATTATTTGAGCAAGTAACTTTGCAAATGTAGAATGAAGTTGATGATAAACACACATACAACCATTTTGTAGATGCATTTATTAAAACCATAAACTATCTAAATGGTCCATATGGGGGATGGATGGGCTCATATCTTTGTATTATTTCTAGAAATGTAGGGGATTTAATCTCAACTTTAGCTAGTGATGACTTAATAATTAATTTGTCTTGAGAATAATAAGCACATAAGAATCTATTCGATCTAAGAATCATCTGGTTGTTTAATGGATGTCAATATGAATTCTTAATTATTATGTGCATCAGTATTGAAGCAGGATGTCCTAATCAGTTACGTCAAACTATAAAAAGTTTGTTTTAATAAACTTCTAGTCTATTATTGCATTTATTTCAATTATATAAATATTCTTGGAGTACAAATTTTAAAAAACTGTCGATAATTTTTTTATTACACATTTTCTATCGGAGATGATACTCGTAATACAGAAGCATCTAGTATTTTTCTCATTATATTTTTTAATATGATATCCGTTTTGACAAATACCCTATAACTTAATAATTTATTTTTAAATTTACAAGATAATGATGCATTGTTTATAAACATATTTGTTCATCCAAGTATAATATACTTGCTCTTTTAGAGTCATTATTAACTTTTATACTACCATATATCGTGTTAACATTGGCTTCAACCCAATATTAAATGAGAAATATTTTTTTATCTTTTAATATGGTATATATTGGTGCACTATCAACTAATTGTATATCTTTACTCTTGATTTTGACTCATCTAAATTTTGAAAAATGTCCATTTTTCATAAGAATAAAATAAACATATTATAAGATAAATTAGAAAGTAAAAAGTAGTTCAAATTTGTATAATTGAATTATTACTTAATTTATATAATTGGTATGAAAGATGAATATGAAATTTTTTTAAAAAAATTTACATTTTTAATACAATGTAATCCGAAAATAACAAAATTGCTTTATTTTCTGAATAAATTCTTAATAAAGTCAAAAATCAAGCCTAATGATATCAGTAAAAAGTTTCATCAATTTTTAACCATAAAAAAATAATTTATATATTAATTTGCGTTTCATCACCCATGTTCGCATTTCACGATACGTGTCAATTACTTGTCTGATGACACGTGTCGGTAGGAAGGGGCCTGACGGACTTTTTCAGACTGCATCGCATGCAAACCACGTGGTTGATTGAGCGTCATTCTCGTTTTAATTTAAGAAGCGATTAGCAATTTGGAGAAAAAAATAAAATTACCGGGGACTCGTCACCTATGGTTTTAAAAAACAGTCATTGTCTTAATCATGCCACGCGCCAACTGTTGATAACTAGTCGTGCGCGTGACCAGCTGAGAGTGGGATAGTTTTTATTTTAGGATTTCAGAACACGATAAATCCAACTATTGTGTATGTCTCGAAAACTATGGCACAGCTCAGCTACGCAAGTGTTTGACGCTCCCGTTAATCCAAAACGTTGACGTTTTGACTCTATTTTCCTTGAGTCCATGATCAGGAATATAATTAAAAATTGAACCTTCAATTGTATTCACTTTAGCAAGTGGTTTAGTGATTAATAAAGTTTGTTTAAGCAATAGAGCCAATTGGAATTTTCACATAACTAAAGTTTTAGTGAAGAGACGATAATTTTTTCAAAATAAGACAAAGTTTGATAATCATTCTAATAATTAATAAACCTTACAAAAAATTATAGGATATGACTAGAGACCATGTTACAAATAGCTTGATAACTACTACTATGACCAAGTTTATTTACATAGCAGCAATCTTTTATAATGTAAATGTTGAAAACTACTCATTTAAGGTTTATAACATGTGAATAACTTGAGAAATTATATTACTAGTTTTTTTTTATGGTAAAAGAATACTTATCCATTCTAATTACATAAAAACAATAAATGAAAATAACAGCAGATTTTATGCACACACACACACACATATATATATATATATATATAAAGATTCCTCTACATTCAAAGATGTAGTTGTATGTATGATCAAAATTGGGAGTCGGGCAAATATTATGTATGTGTTTTGGTGACCGCATCATTTGAACTTTCTCATGTTCAAATGGGGAAACCCAATTTGTTATTTACATTTTTTTAATTTTTTATATAAGGCGGGCTAGAATTTTAAGTAGGATGTTTTTACTGTATTAAATATTATTACTTAACCATAATTAACTTATATATGATATACCTGCAAAATTGTAATGCTATATGTATATATATCTATATAAATATATAAATACAAAAATATATATTATTAATTCATATAATAATTGAAACACAATATAAAAAATTCACCTTACTTTTGACGCTATGTAATAAAAAGCTACTCTCACAGACACCACCATACCAAATCCTCTTATATATAAATAAATATTTTTGATTTAGAGAAACTTATAAAATTGTAGAAGAAATATATATATTTTTTTCTAGTTAAGAACACGTTTAATAAAATCCTCTCTAATTTATGGGTAATTATTAAATTTAACAATAGTTATTAATTTTAACTTTTCCTTATTAAGTATTTTTATTCATTGAATTTTAAATAAATTATAGTACCAAATAATATAATAGTGAAAAAAATGAATTTATGAAGGAAGAATATTAACGGAAATGTTAATGATGCTAGGGGTAGGGGGGGGCATAAAAGATTTTAAGGCAACTGTTTTTCAGGAGTTAAAAGTATACGCGTGGTGAGCACGCGTTTCTTGCGCAACATTCTTCTTGCCTGCAAAAGTGAAGGCCTCTTGTTTGTTTGTTTCCTGGGAAAAAAGTTGATACGAAATACTACTAGAGGAATCCACAGAATCCGCATCTTCTAAAATGCCACTCAGAAAACCGCCCCCTGTATGAGGATCCATTTTCCCTCCTATAAAAATCTCTCCACTCTCATTCCTTCCCTACCAACAATCTCACTCCTATTCAATTTCCTTCTAAAATTTTCCTCTCTAATATCATCAGACTCTCTTTTTCCTGAAAATTATCAGCTCTCTTTGGAAGGATTATAGTATTCCAAAGGAAACATCCTATGGACACCAAGATTGGATCGCTTGAGACCTGCAAACCCACCTGCAACGACATCGGAAGCGGACCAAACGGTGACGTCTCCACCATCCAGAACTCCGTCACATCAACACTCATCAAGGATTACGAGGCAACCCTCGGCCGCCACCTCGCTCGCCGCCTTGTCCAAATCGGTGTCACCGATGTCTTTTCCGTGCCCGGGGACTTTAATCTTACCCTGCTCGACCATTTGATCGCCGAGCCGGGGCTCAAGCTGATTGGCTGCTGTAACGAGCTTAATGCCGGGTATGCTGCTGATGGTTTCGCAAGGTCGCGTGGCGTCGGTGCTTGCGTGGTTACTTTCACCGTCGGTGGGCTCAGCGTGCTTAATGCAATAGCTGGGGCTTACAGCGAGAATCTTCCAGTCATTTGCATCGTCGGTGGCCCAAACTCAAACGATTATGGGACTAACAGGATTCTTCATCACACTATTGGTTTGCCTGACTTCAGCCAAGAGCTTAGAGCTTTCCAGACTGTGACCTGCTATCAGGTAAAAGAAAATCCAACTGGGTATTTTTATATTCTACTAATTATCAAGATTTTCAGTATTATATATTAATGACTTGTAATGGGGACAGATAATGTTGTTGAGTGAGTTGGACCATGAGTGGCAGCAAGCGTGATCTTGTAGGATATTGATTTGTTTGGTACTGCTTTATGAATAATGGGGTATGGCTTCTAATGTTTTCTAGGCTGTGGTGAATAACTTGGAGGATGCACATGAACAGATTGATACTGCGGTATCAACTGCTTTGAAAGAGAGCAAGCCTGTTTACATCAGTATAAGCTGTAACTTGCCAGCAATCCCTCATCCCACTTTTGTTCGTGAACCTGTTCCATTTTTCCTCTCCCCCAGGTAATATTTCTCTTCGGTTTGTATATAAGGGTTTGATCTTTGATTAACGATATGATTATTCACTAATTTGTCCGTACAGATTGAGTAATCACCTGGGTTTAGAGGCAGCTGTGGAGGCAACTGCAGAGTTCTTGAACAAGGCAGTTAAACCAGTCTTGGTTGGTGGACCTAAACTGCGGGTTGCAAAAGCAGGCGATGCATTTGTTGAGCTTGCCGACGCTAGCGGCTACGCGGTTGCGGTCATGCCATCAGCTAAAGGCCTTGTTCCTGAGCACCACCCTCATTTCATTGGGACTTACTGGGGTGCGGTGAGCACTGCATTCTGTGCTGAGATAGTGGAATCTGCGGATGCTTACTTGTTTGCAGGGCCTATTTTCAATGACTACAGTTCTGTTGGCTACTCTCTGCTTCTTAAGAAGGAGAAAGCTATCATCGTGCAGCCTGATCGTGTGGTGGTTGCAAATGGGCCTGCTTTTGGGTGTGTTTTGATGAAAGATTTTCTCAAAGCGCTGGCCAAACGTCTGAAGAAGAACGATACTGCTTATGAGAATTATCATAGGATTTTTGTGCCTGAAGGGCAGCCTGTGAAAGGTGATCCTGTAGAACCCTTAAGGGTTAATGTTCTGTTCCAGCACATACAAAATATGCTGTCTGGTGACAGTGCCGTGATTGCTGAGACAGGGGATTCTTGGTTTAACTGTCAGAAGCTGAAACTGCCAAAGGGATGCGGGTGAGCATGGAGAATTGTTGTTATTTTTCATGTTTGGCTCTTGGGTTTTACGGACAGTTTATTAAAACATGAGGAATTTGGATTTGCAGGTATGAATTCCAGATGCAATATGGATCTATTGGATGGTCAGTTGGTGCCACTCTTGGGTATGCACAGGCTGTGCCAGAGAAGCGTGTTATTGCATGCATTGGTGATGGTAGCTTCCAGGTACGCTCGTGGTTCTCGTTTGCCTTTTGCTACTTTTTTCTTTTCTTTTCTTTGGAAAAACCAAACAGTAATCATGAACTCATTTGCTGAGCTCACGGTTTAGGGTTTCATGATCTCCTCGTGAAATCTTTTACTTTTTTCTTTTCTTTTTTATTATTCTTGCTCTGTGGTATTGAATTTCTTTTCTGGGTGACAGGTGACGGCACAAGATGTGTCAACAATGATAAGATGTGGGCAGAAAAGCATCATTTTCCTCATAAATAATGGTGGATACACCATTGAAGTTGAGATCCATGATGGTCCATACAATGTGATCAAGAACTGGAACTACACTGCCCTAGTTGATGCAATTCACAATGGGGAAGGCAAGTGCTGGACAGCCAAGGTTAGATGGTTTCATGGGTCGTCATCATTTCCATTTATAGCTAAAACATAAAATATAATTTACAAAATATTAGTCAGTGAGATGGGTGTTTGATTTTGCAACTGCAGGTTCGGTGTGAGAAAGAACTCATTGAAGCAATCTCTGCTGCAACAGGGCCCAAGAAGGATTGTTTGTGCTTCATTGAGGTGATAGTTCACAAGGATGATACTAGCAAAGAGCTTCTTGAATGGGGTTCCAGGGTGTCTGCTGCAAATAGTCGCCCACCAAATCCTCAGTAGACTCTTCTTCTAGCTCACTGCAACAATTGGGTTATTCCAAGTAGATGAGAAACTCTTATATTGCTCCTAAAGGTTAGTAAGTTATGAGTATATGTTGTATTCAAAGAGTTTGATTGTATTTTGCGGGTTTCATGTTGGTGTTTGATGTAAATTTCCTTTGAATTTGATTATATGAAAGAACCCCAAGTCTTCTGGTTTTCATTTCTCTCTTTGTTTTGTCGATGGCTCCATGTGACAAGGAAGAACATTGGTGTAAAATTCACATGCAAACAACGCGGGACAACCACGTTCTGCACGGTGCTGGGCCCAAGAAGAAAAAACAAAAACAAAAATCTCCACGGACCGAGACTGTCAATTCTTAATTGCTGAAAATAGCCAAAAGAAAAAGAAAAGAAATAGTAGGAGTGGATTCCACGGATTAATTGCAGAAATATTTCTATTAGTAGTTAAGCGAACAATACTGTTTCTTTTCTTGATCTAGTAAAAACCAAAGATGTTATGTGAATGATTTAATAAATCAAGATTGATTTGGAGTTGGACCCAGTACAAATTTAATACATAAAATCATAATTAATTAACCGTATAATTACTCCAATACTTGGTAGATGCATGATTGTCTACACTCTCCTTAATCGTACTACTAGAAAAATGAATTGTCATGAACAAAAGGATGTGATCCAACATTCCTATCCAAAACCTTGTTCAGACTTTGAACTTATCAGACTATTCTAATGGCATATTAACTTTGGAGTCGAACTTTCAGCCGCCCAACATGCGAGGATACCTACACCTCATGGACCCTTTATCACATGCCAATCAAATACTACTTGCAGAAAGTCATCATCCCTTCTTCTAACATCCTTTAATGTCTTCATAATCCAGCATTTAGATTACATGAAGCCAAAATGATAAGGACCCGAAAAAAATAGATCCCTTCAACATAAGGAGCCATCGAGTGTAGAGAAGCTACCACACTGATGCTTCAAAGCCACAAAATTCCGCACTTAAATGCCAGACTTCTGTTAGTACAATTCATCGAAAAACCAAAAAAGCTTGATACAAAATAAAACATAAGGAGGACCGCCAGATACAAACAACAAAGTTGATGAAATGTGATCGGTAGATATCTACAGCTTACTGTCACCGCTACTCTGTGTGAGCACCAGATGGCCATTTTCGAGTAGGGTGGCAGGGAAGGGGCTTCGGCAATTGCTCACATGTGATTTTAGCCTTTGCATGTTGGGGTGTGCACTTCTACATCGGTGGCAGCGTAGTTCCATTGACAATAAGCTGTTATCTCTTGCCAGTGATACTACTCCTTGCTTGCTAACCTCCTCAATTACATCCACAGAGTCACGGAAAAAAGCAGTACTGAAACTATTCCAGTGCTTCTTATTCTTCAGATATTTTGAATCAAAGTCTTGACTAATAACATGAAGATGTAGTTGTCGCATTGATGGGGCCTGAAAAATTATACAGGTAAGCAACCTGCTAAATGATTTGTACTATGTAGAAATGTTTCATTATACAATCTATACTCATAAGCAAAACTACTAAAGTAAACTCGAGCTTACAACGTAAATTTTAGGCACTAGTTTTCTAACCATTTGATGTTGATATCTAAGAAAAGTTTCAAAATTAAAATCTAACATTTAAAATTGTAGTGCTTACATTGAATTTGAGGCCCAAACTTATTACAACATAACAGGCAAAATTTTCTTGAGGACTAATATCAGAGAATGCTATACTTCCGAAATAGAGAATAATTAAATTTCTTTCAGATCATTGAAGTTTAGCATTATTTTCAAATCTATCTATAACCTCTATCCATCCTCTTCTTGAACTGTCTAGTTGGCGTGTAGGTCTATAGCAGAGAATCCCCTACTCACCATGTCACAACTTATATACCAAATTTCTGTTCAATAAATGATTAATTTTTTCCAATAAACTAAACCCAACATTTTTCTAAAAGCATAAGGAAGAAAGCACCAAGAGAGAGAATAAAGGGAAATACAATTAAACAACACAAGGATCTTGAATGTAAAACATACTGAATGGTAACCAAGGCGAAAGACCAATGATGCATCTTCATGCAAGAATTTATTGGCCCATTTCAAGCCAACATCATGCATTGTCATCAACAGCTGAAGATGCTCCCTGCATACGTCTGTCAAGCGATCTAGACCTTCATACCGTGCCAACACCAATAGGTGCTTCCGTGCCTACATAATGAAGGAGCTATATATTTGATCTTGCAAGCAGGGATTTGAAAAGAGGATTTATTACACAGTGCTCATTTACCTTGGGATAAAGGTCATTTAGCACAAGAACATCATCCGACACCTCCAGCACAACATCCTTATGTCTCTCAGGATGCATGGCAATGCGGTAAAGAGCTTGAGCCCATGAGCCCCAGCCATTTCCATTACTGTTGCCACTGTTGCTAGGTGCAATTATGGTAGTAGGATCAATTGTATCAGCGCTAGCCTCATTTTGAGATCCCTTCCACTTCTTGCTCCTCTCATTTTCATGATTAGTGTCTTTCTTTTTTCTATCACTCCATGAAATTTGATGAGGGCCATTTTCAGTGAGATCAAGCAATGTGGAAGCCTCTGATCCAATGGTTTCATCTCTTCTCGCTGGTGACTTTACTTGGTTCCTTATTATAGATACAAAACCTTCAAAAAGTGATGTGTATGCCTCACGAAGAATTTTGCAGCCCTTGATGTAGTCATTATTAAGACAATTTGGCCTATGAGGATTCATATTTGGTCCAAGAACATGTATCACATG